TTTGTAAAAAAAAACAAAAAAAAACAATAAAAAACCCAACTATTAAAAGACTTTATTGCCTCACCTGGGACTGAGCTAAGATTATGTAACATCTAACACAGTCATTTTCAAAAAAACTGCATAGCTCACTTTTCCTTCTCACACTCACGCCTTTCTTCCACTAGGGAAAGGAATGATGTACCCAGATAGACCCAACCCCCGAGGCCACATGTTCTACCTCTGGAAGGAAAACAGAAATTGTGAGTGGGTGGGGGATATTTCACCCTGGGGCCCAAGTTGGGCTGCCCTGGCTCAGAAGACTTGCCTCCCTGGGAAAGACCTTGTCCCTCAGGAGGCAGGGAAATCTCCCAAGAACTGGTTCCACGGGCTGAGTTCACCTACAGGTCACATGCCTTCTGGCTGCACGTAAACAATTTTTTAAAAAGTCATTTCAATTCCTTTTAGTCATCCCTGAGGTTGTAGGTAGGTAAGAAGGGCTTAGGGGAAGTGAAAGATGAAGGGAGGATTCCAAGCTAGTTATAAGAGAGGATCACAGGTTCAGGAGATAGGGATGGTCATTTGCCTTCCATCTCTAGGGCCTGAGGCTCAATCTTTTAAAAATCCTCCCAATCTTTTCCAGGATTTGCTCACAATCTTGACTCATTCCTGAGCTTCATTTCTTCCCAGATTTATGGAAGGGTGGGGTATAGACTCAACCTGAGTTATTTCATTTTTCCCTTCACTATCCTCAGATTTCCAGCTATCATATTACACCCCCATGCTAGGTGTAGGCAGGAATTTGTTGGATAAATGAATGAGTTAATGGGCTTATAGAATGAATGAATGAATGAATCATAGGATCATAAAGTATGAAAACAGAAAGGGACTTTAGAGTTTATCTAGTCCAACCCATTCATTTTATAGATGAAGGAATTTGGGGCTCAGAGAAGAGAGTGAATAAAAAAGCAAAACGTCCTCTCTTGGGCTGCAAAGAAGGAGGCTTAGGTGTTGTAACAAGCATTGAATGTAGGTGAAGCAAAGTATTTAGGGCAAGCCAAGATGCTGGATTAGAGCAACACTCAGTAGAGCTCTCCCAACATTCCCCTCTAAACAACTTTAAAATAATGTCTCAAATTGAATTCTGGAGTGCCACAGCCAACAAAAGGTGAAAGTGAGACATTCTTCTAGCCCATGACAACTTAGAAGGTCAGAAAGAGAGATCTGTGACATGGGGGAGGAGGCTGACCCAGAGCCCACACAGATGAAACACCAGTGGTGGGACTAGGTCTTAGTCTCTGCCAACACCTTGGAGAGCTCTCAAGCCAGAGATGGTAAGGGGAACTGGCAACTGGTCAGAAAGAGATTACAAGAGGACCTCTGTGATAGCACAGGTTGCAAGACTGGATGCTATTTGGCAACTCCAATGCCTATACCCACTTCTGGGTCATAGTTCAAGTGTGGAAAGGAGTGCTTTTGGTCAAGGGGAAGCAGTATCACTTTCTGTCACAAGGGTTTAGAGACCCTGAGGAATCATATCACTTTTGGCCCTAAGGAAATAGGGGTCCTGAGTAGTATCATTTCTGCTTCCAAGGGATTAGGAACCCTTCCTGGGTAAGGACCAGAGTGAAGACCAGGAGAACAAGGACCACACCTCTCCCCAGATCAATACACCAAAAACTTTCAAACCCCCAGAACTAGCTCTGAAGACACCAGTTTGAAAAACTTGAGGCTTGAGATAGTGCCCCTCCTCTCCCCATGCTACAGGAACAGAGCCCAACTTTAACATAAAGTTCAAAATCAAGAAATAGGGTGGAAAAAGGAACAAGCGAAAGCAAAAAACAAAAAACAAACAAAAAACAAAACCCTGACCTGACCCTTCCCTAGTGACAGGGAAGATCAAGACACAAACTCAGAAGAGGACAATGAAGTCAAAACAGCTACAAGCAAAAGTCTCAAAGGAAAAAATGTTAATTGGACACAAACCAAATGAAAACGATTTTCAAAATCAAATAAGAGTGGTAGAGTAAAAAATAGGTAAAGAAATGAGAGCAAAGGAAGCATATGAAAGGACAATTAACAGCTTGGTAAAAGAGGCACAAAAATAATAAAGAAAATATCTTAAAAAACAGAATTAGCCAAATGGAAAAAGAGGCACAAAAGCTTTCTGCACGTCCTTAGACCATTTATCAACTGGGTAATGGCTCTTATTTTTTTTTTTTTTTACATATTTGGCTCAGTTCCCTGTGTATTTGAAAATGAGGCTTTTATCAGAGACACTTGCTGTGAAATGTCTGCGCCCCCCCATCTAATTTCCTGTTTTCCTTCTAATTTTGGCTGCATTAGTTTTGTTTGTGTAAAAGCTTTTTAATTTCTTGTCATCAAAATTATCCATTTTGCTTCCTGTTATCCTGCCTATCTCTTCTTTGGTCATAAGCTCTTCCCTTTCCCGTAGAACTGACAGGCATATTTTTCTATGCTACTCTAATTTACTTATGATATCACCCTTTATGTCTAAACCATTTATTCATTTTGATCTTATCTTGGTATATGGTGTGACATGTTGTTCTATGCCTACTTTCTGGCAAATTGCTTTCCAGTTTTCCCAGCAATTTTTGTCAAATGGTGAGTTCTTACCCCAAAAGGTTGGATATTTTGGTTTGATAAACCATAACACTAGATCACTAAGGTCATTTACTAACTTATTCCACTGATCCACCACTCTATTTCTTAACCAATGCCAGATTTTTTCATAATTACTGCCTTGTAATATAGTTTGAAATCTGGTGCTGCTAGGCCACCTTTCTTCACATTTTTTTTCCATTGATTCCCTTGATATTAACAGGCAGTTTTCTAATTCACAACTCCACCATTCTGAAGAACAATTTGTAATTATGTCCAAAGGACTAAAAAACTGTGCATACCTTTTGACCCAGCAATACCATTACCGGTTTATATCCCAAAGAGATCAAAGAAAAAGGAAAAGGACCTATCTGTGCAAAAATATTTATAGTAGCTCTTTTTGTGGTGGCAAAGAATTGGAAATTGAGGGAATGGCCTTCAATTGGGGAATGACTGACCAATGACTAACCCTATGGTATATGATTGCGATGGAATACTACTTTGCTGTAAGAAATGATTGAGCAGGGTGGTTTCAGGGGAAGACATATATGAACTCATGCAAAGAGAAGTGAGCAGAACCAGGAGAAAATTGTACACAGTAGCAGCAATAGCAAGGATGATCAATTGTAAAAGACTTAGCTAATCTATGTTGGATATAACGATCCCAGACAATCCTGAAGGACCCATGATGTAAGATGCTATCCACCTCCAGAGAAGGAACTGATGAACTCTGAGTGCAGATTAAAGCGTACTTTAAAATTTTTCTCTATTTTTCTGTTTTGTTGGTGTTTGGGTTTTCTTTTACAACATGACTAACATGGAAATGTGTTTTGCATGACTTCACATATTTAATCAATATTAAATTTCTTGTCTTCTCAAGAAGGGGGGAGATTTTGGGAGAGAGGGATAGAATTTTGGAACTCAAAATGTAAAAAAAAATGAATGTTAAAATTTTCTTACATCTAATTGGGAAATGTTTAATGAAATTATATGTATGTGTGTGTTGGTTTTTTTTTTTAAAGGATGCAGGTGAAATCACTCTCCCAGCCTCTTAGAAGGATTTGATCTGATTAAGACCTGAGAAGTCTAAGGTTATCCTATTTATATTCACAGAAGAACAAGTCTCTAAAACAAACCCTTCAATTTGGTCACAAGTGTAAGTTTGTTCATTACAACAAATTAACCCCAGAGGTAGGTGGCACAGTGAGTAAGAGTGGGAATCAGGAAGACCTGAATTCAAATCCTGCCTCAAACACTTGCTAGATGTGTGAACCTGGGCACATCACATAATCTCTGCTTGCCTCAGTTTCCTCATCTGTAAAATGGAGATAATAAAAGCACCTACCTTTTAGATTTGTTGTAAGGATCCAATGAAACATATCTACAGTACTTTCCAATTCTTAAAGCACTATTTAAATGCTAGTTATTTTTATTATTATTATTATTGTTGCTATGGATTGAGAACTGAAAAAGACCTTAAATATCATCTAGTTCAATTTCCACATTTTTACAAATGGGAAAACTGAGGCCCACAGGGGTTAAGTGACTTGCCCAAGGTCACAAAAATAGTAAGAGGTAGTCAGAACTAGAACCCAAGATCTAGTGTTGATCCCTTCCCTCCTTTTTTCACCATTGGACATCTCTATAGGATGACTGGTATCAAAGTCTTGGGACTTTCTGTCCTCTTTCTAACTCCTCCGTGACTTCTACAGTATCCTCAGACAAAATGGGCCCCACAATTCATAACTTCTCTTTTTAAAAGAAAATCCTTCTCAACAAAAGGTTCTCTTCCTTGTTCTGCCAAAGTCTTGCTCAAGAGCGCTGGGCCTCTTACTTCGCCCCATAAATCCTTACCTTCCTTCCCCTTAGGGCCTGTGTGGAATAACGGCTAGAGAACTGGTCTCCAATTCAGGAAGACCCAGGTTCAAGACCCATCTCTGATACTTTTGGCCAAGGTGACCCTGGGGAAGTTGTCCCAGACAACTCTCTAAGACAGTAAGGTGCCCGTCTATATCAGTAGAAGTTACAGTACCTAGGAAATCACAATTCCAGTTTAGAAAGACAAACAAACAATTCTATCCATAATTTAAAAAATAAAAAAAAAACATTCCTTTCTGTCTCTCCTTAGGCCTTTGAAAGCAGTTACTGAAATGCTAGCCTGTTTGCCATGCAAGATGAAGACCTCAGAGTGATTTTTACTAGAAAGCACATGAGAAACATTCCATTACTAGTAATGGACTTGCATTGAGGTTTCTGGTCTATCGAGAAATAGCAAAAATCTCCTTTTTCCTTTCTACTGAAAGAAGGGCAGAGAAGACACCCAGGCTGCACCCTGCATGCCAACCACCTCTTTTCCCCCCGCTATTGCTCCTAGACAAGGGAAGATCATGATATTTACTCACGAGCTGAGAGAATGAAGAACAGGGGTCTCATTTTGCCCACCATGGTCTCTCACTTTATCACAAATCCGTCTCAAACCTGGGGCAGGAAGTCAGTCAAGTCAAAGGAGCTTTTAGCCTGTTAAGGCCTGACAAGTTAGATGGATTCCCTCTTCCTCTCTTCACTTCCCTCTTAACTGTTCCCTCCCCTGCCCCTGGACTGACAGGTGTACTCTCCTGTGACGCTGGACTTTACCCACCCACCCCACCTTCTCCTACATGAGTAGATCTTGGCTTCCTCCTTCCTGCTATCTGGTTTCAGTTATATACAGGTATACAAATGTCATTGATGCTTCATCCACAAAGGTTGGGATTTGTTTATTGCTAGCAGGAAATTGTTCTCATGCAATGAAAAGAGAATTACCTGCACAGAAAGGTTTCTCAGCCACAATAAGATGTTGGGTGTTTCCCTCTAGGACTGAAAAATTTCAAAGCCCCATGCACCTCCCTTACTAAAATGCCCACTTGCGGGGAATGGAGCATGCGTGGCCTCATGGAGGTGAGACAAGGAAAAGAAGAGATTAATATCACTCATTCTACGGCTCAATTCTTCCGTGAAGCACCTTCTGAGTTTATGAGTAGGAGCTAAGGATAAGAGAAAGTAGAGGTACTTGTTTCACTGACAAGAAAAAAAGGAAAAGGACCATTTCTCAGGCTGCTTTTTCTCTGCCTCCACTTTAGGATTTGAAAGGGGTTATTTCTCCACCAACAGGGTTATATGTAGGGATTTTTCGTTAATAGGTCCAAAGAAATAGTTATGCATCATATAAAAAATGTAACGATTCACATTTATATGAAACAAGTATAGGCACTTGGATATTGAATTAGCCCACATGGACAATAGACAACGTCTCATGGCCTCATGGGCTGCTGCTCTATTACTCAACAAATGTATGTAGTATTTAATTTGTCCACAAGGTGGCACTATAATCAAACCACCAGCCAAGTGGTTGCAACAGAGTCCAACTGGTGTTTTTGGTGTTTGAGAAGGGGAGTGTAGAAGGGGTAGGTTATTGGTAGGGAAGAGTTAAAAATCCACACTGGCCTGATTCTGAATCTAGACTAAGGGTGATGAAATAAGGCTCTGAATTATTGGAAAATCTATGGTTCTACCCAGACCCACATCTAGAATTTCCCTTCTTAGTAAACAAGCTCCATGAACTCATAGGATACAGGCACTCAATTTGCTGTGGCCTTGTGGTTTATTAAACATATACTCAATTCACTGCGGTCATGTGGTTAATTAGACACCAGCTTTATTAGGCAGCATCCCTCCCCCCAGCCAACAGTATTCCTCCAAAATCAGTATAATAATACCTACCTCACATCGTAAGATGGAAATGTGCTTAGTACAGTGCCTGGCACATAGTAGGTACTTAATAAATGTTTATTATATAACATATAATAAATACGTGAATAATATATGATAAAGAATATAATAATATATAATATTAATAATATAATAAATGAACGAATAGGGATGATAGCGTCTTCCTCACTGGGTTGTTGGCAAAATCAAATGAGATAAGGCATGTAAATCACTTTGCAAACTTTTAAGTAAAGAAGCATCTGTTATGATTATGGCTGTTGTTATGAATGTCTGAGGATACACAATATTATCTGCTGTTGCTCCAGCATTTCCAAAATAGCAGCAGACAGTACCAAATCCCTAGACTGCTATTTTGTGCATCCATCACCTCCTTACAAATAATTGGGGGAATCAGCCATTCCAGAGTCACAGCTTACCTGAATAGGGCTCAAAGTACTTTCTGGAGCTTCAAGTATAACCGAGGGAGGAGGAGAACTGTCTAAAAACAGAGTAGGCTGCCTCCAGATGGGGTAGGATTCACATCACCTGAAGTCCTCAAATAGAGAGTGAATGACCATTTGTTGGGAATGTTGTCCAGGGATATGGATTTGGATCAAGTCAACAAGTATTTTTTAATATTTTATTCCCCCCCCAATTACTTGTGAAAACAATTTTTAACATCCTTTTAAAAAATTTTTGAATTCCAAATTTTCTCCCACCCTCCCTCCCTTCCCCCTTCTCCCAATTGAGAAGGCAAGCAATTTGATATAGGTTATACATGTGTAGTCATGCAAAGCACATTTCCGTATTAGTCATGTTGTAAAAGAAAACAGACCAAAAAAAACAAGAAAAACAAAGAAGGTAAAAATCATGAACAAGTATTTATTAAGCTCTTGCTCTGTGCAGGTGCTGTGCTAAATACTGAGAATACAAATACAAGCAGAAAGAAGGGGAAAAAAAGACAGTCCCTGTTCTCAAGGAACTTACATTCTAATGAAAGAAGACAAGTGAAAAAGGAAGCTGAAGAGCAGGGCTGGGAGTGATTGAAGGTACCAAGAGTGGGTAGGAGTTGGAGTGGGGTAATAGAGAAAGTTTATAGTGCTAGGAGGGTATCTTGGAAAGGACTGACCACAAGGCTGGCTCAGGCATCCTCCTTAAGTTGGAGGTTCTGGGAGGTACCTGCCAATCGAATAGAGTCTTCAAATGGAGACTGAATGACCATTTGGTGAGAATGTTGTAGAGGGTACATCTCTCCAGGTATGATTTGAACTAGATACCTACCATCTACATAGAATTTTAAGGTCTGCAAAATGCTTTACAAATATGATCTCATTTGATCTAGTTCTGTCAGGTATGTGCTGGTATTATCTCCATTTTACAGATAAGGAAACTGAGGCTGAAGAAGTTTAAGTGTCTTGTCTAGGGCCACATAGCTAGTAAATATTTGAGGCAAGATTCAAACTCAGGTCTTCCTGACTGAAAATCCAACACTTTCTCCACTGTTCCAACTAGCTGCTTTCGTAAACTCTGAGGTCTTTTCTGACTCTGAGATTCTATGATTCTACAATTCTATGACTTCCAGCTAGAGGCTGAGTATCCCCACGTGCAGCAGTGTCCCAGATGCCCTGGTGTGTTCAAAGCTTTGTTTGCCAAGGATCATGCCACTGGCTTTCCCCTACCCTCTCACTCTTTTTCAATCCATAGGAACGGATAGGAATCCACATCCCCGTTTACAACTGTTCTTTCTTTTAAGATATTGTTCCACCAGTTCAATTTAACAAACATTTGTTAAGCCCTTACTTATGTGCAGGGCACTGTGCCAGGTACTGGGGGTACAAAAACAACAATAAAAAATGTCCTGGCCTCAAAAGGCTTACACTCTATGACTTCATCACCTTGAAGCCGCTGCTGTTTCAGTTCGATGGTGAGGATAGATTTTGGGGTCAATTAGCCAAAAAAATTGAATTTAGACAGCTGGAAGTTCACACTGAAGCTAATGCTACTCCAGTACAAAGCTGAGTAGAAGTGGGATGGAAAGGGGATAGAAAGGATGGGGGAGGGCGCAAATCTAGGTGCTGTCTCATGCTCATCATCAGTTGGATCCTTGTCGAGATTGGGAATGCTATAATTATGAATGCACAGATTTTAATTTCTTGTTGAAGCTTTTGTTTGGCCATAGACAGATCAATTCCCCTCTGGGCCTCAGTTTCCTTATCTGTAAAATGAGGAGGTTGGACCCAAATGACCACTAAGCTTTAAAATCTAGGATGTCATGGCTAGGTAAACTTGGAAGGGGGCATTTAAAAATAATAATAATAATGATAATAATAATAATAACTAGCATTTATATAGCACTTTACAGATTTTCAAAGTATTTTATGTAGTTTATAAAAACTATATGATTTATATAGTTTTGTATATAGTTTGCAACTATATAGATTTGCAAAGTATTTTACAAATATTTTCTCATTTGATCCTTTCAATATCCCAGGGAAATGCTATTCTTATCCCCATTTTACAGATAATAAAAATAATAATAGCTAACATTTCTATAGTGCTTACTAAGTCCCAGGCACTGTGTCACATGCTTTACATAGATATCACATTTGAGCCTCACAACAACCCTAGGAGGTGGGTGCCATTATTACTCACCACTTTACAGATGAGGAAACTGAGGCAGACAGAAATTATGTGACTTGTCCAGTCACACAGCTCAGTGTCTGAGGCGGGATATGACCACACGTCTTCCTGACTCCAAGTCAGAGAAGAAGAGGGAGAAAAAATGGGAGGGAGGAATGAATCAGGGTAGAGGTTAGAAGTGTAGTCAAGGTTTGAGACAGAGAAGGGCTGAGAAAGGGATCTCAGGCAGGAAATAGCTTGAGGTTAGTGGGACAGCTTGAGGAGAGAAGAGTGGAGATTAGGGGTGGGGACTTGGGGAGAGAAAAATTAGGTAGAGATAGTCAACAAGGACAAGAGAGGGGATTCAATTAGAGGAGAGGGTAGACTGACATATGTGTGTGTGTATAATATTAATATATTAATTAGATATTATATATGTGTATATATAATATTAATATATTAATTATATTATATATGTATGTATACTATTAATATATTAATTCTATATTATGTGTGTGATATTAATATGTTAATTATTTATTATATATGTGTGTATAATGTTGATATATTAATTATATATTATGTGTGTGTGTTAATATATTAATTATATTATACGTGTGTGTATAATATTAATATATCAATTATATATTATATGTGTATATAATATTAGTATGTTAATTATTTATTATGTGTGTGTGTGTGTGTGTGTGTGTGTGTATTTACGGGCCACGTCCTCTGACTCCAAAGCTAACGATCCTACTGTTTGCTTTTTGAAGTTTTTTCCAGAAGCATCTGGCAAATCTGAGTCTCCCCCATCATCTCTCCTACAGCACAGTTACTCCCTGGGTCACAGCCTAGGGTAAGGGTAATAGGAAGTTACCATCTATCCTAAGAATAGTCCTGGTAACAGGATGCACCCCTGGGCATAAGCAGGAGCTGCCTTCAGTCACTGGCTCTCTGAGTCCCCAATTGTCCATAGTCTTTAATGTCCTCCTCTTCTGCCTTTTTGTCCCTGGATGCAAATGGCAAGGGCTTTTAAGGATCAGGTTATCTCCTGGAAGATATTCTGAAAGGGCTTCTAACACTTGTGTCCAGGAGCAGGGTATGAATGGGGAGGCCATGCTGAAATAGCCCCAACACCTCTATGGTACAGGAGGAAGTGACAGGTTTTCCCCGACTCTCTTGCCAAAGAAATCAATTGTTGGTGGCAAAAGGA